TTTCCAAACCACTCTCTGCTACCAAAATGTTAGGGAATTTACTATGTATATATATAGGGAAAAATATGTGGAAGCGTCTGTCACGTACCTGTATGGTTCTGCGGATTTCTTGGGCTTCAGGGTCTCGAAGATATCTTCGCTAGCTTTCCAGTTTCACAGTAGGTTTAACTCAGTTCTAATTTATTTTAATTCACAACACAATGCGCGCGCGCGTCATGGCCGCCGTACGGTCAGTTCAGTACTAGGTAAGGGAGGGGAAACAACGGCGCGGGAACAGAAACTAACGGACTCTAATATAATAATCTGTGCTTACGATGGTACAGGGTAGATTTTGAACAAAATGTATTAATGTGGTTTTGAGTTTTGAGATAGCTAATAGGAATGAATACCTGCTTCATTGTAGTAGTTGTAAAATATATACATGTATTTGTTTATCGTCATAGTACTGGTGTTGGTCGCTCTCTATAAATACTTTGGCCGCATTGCAGGGTAGCTTAGACAAATTAGCGTGTTTTAACTTTTACATACGTACTACAGTGCAACCTCGATAAAACAAATCGAAACAAAGGAAGCAAGTAAAATAATATATATATGTAGTATATCAAGTAATTCGTTGAACTGAGATTTATTATGTTGAAGGTACGTTGGTCTATAACTTCGTTATAAAAAAAAAAAACCAGTCTGAGCCATTTCAACTTGAATCTTTAACAATAGTGACGAGCAGCAGTGTTTACAAAACTTTACATTACTTTCCATCGAACAACAATTATTGTTCTACGAACAAAAGTACGTCGAAACATGTCCTGACATGAATCACATTTTATTAGATAAGAGATAAGTAGAGTTAGAGCCATACCATTGGTGAGAACATTATATAAAGGTTTTGGGTTAAGAAATTCCTTATAAATAGATGTTTTTCCAAATTAAAAATAATAATAATGTCGCAATGTAAAGGTATATTTTACCTCGATTCTTATGGAAAATCCAAGAGGATTACAAAGAATTAGTTAAATCAAGGAAGTCGTTATATACGAGGTATATTATTGTGAATGAGGTGCGTTATATTATGGCTGCACTATTATTATTATTACTAGATAATAATGTAAACTATGATGCATGATGGTAACAATTACTAACGATAGGCATTATTGGAAAAACAACAGTTCTGAGGATACTATTAGTATTCCTATACTTTAGATTAGATTTATTTACTGGACAATCTTGTGGAGTAAATAAATCTGAAATATGTTTAATATTAGTAGTCATAAATGTATATATTGTGAAAATTAAATGGATAAGAGTGGCGTTTAATTGTGCTATAATTATAATATTTGGTGTTTTGCAGGAGTTCATGATTTGCTTATAAAAAAGTCGATTGCAACTATTGGCTCAGAGGACCTTAAAGAAATTAGCAAAGGAAGAAAAACAATGAGCATAATACTAATAACCAATACTTAAAGAGGATGAATTAAGAAGTTCAATGGAGTTATAATGACGGTGACAATGGCATTGATATTCTAAAAAAGGAGCTACATAGGTAAGGTAGACTGGGCCGTCAAGCATTAAATTGCGTATTGACGGACAGGTTGCTTTAAATTGCGTTGGCTGGGCCATCAGGCATTAAATTGCGAACTGATGGACAGATTGCATTAAATTGCGTTGGCTGGGCCATCAGGCATTAAATTGCGAACTGATGGACAGATTGCATTAAATTGTCTTTGGCGGGGTCATCAAGCATTGTATTGAATATTGATGAATGGTGTCCTATTCATTAAAGTGTAAATTGATAGAATGTTGCATTAAATTGCGGTTGAATATAAGTAATAAAAAAATTGCCAGTTTTAATGCATATTAATTATCGGAGTGAAATGGAGCGGATTCAGTAAAATATAATAAATCAAAAGTCATAGGACACAAATTAATTTTGGTCGAAAATATAATTTCTATAACTAATATAATTGACGATTGCTGGAGTACGTAGTCTCCGTGTTGATATATGTGGTATATGTCGATCGCTCAAAGACTGGTCTGACAACCTTTCCTAATATTTTAGCACTGAATTAATGCAGGTGATAAGAGAGATAATTTTGGTACGATGAAGAATTGTTATAGTTATACCCAATTACCCTTTGCTTCAGTAAGCAAGCCGGTGATACAACCTGCTTAGACTGAGGAGGTTCGGAATACGGAACATACATAATATATAGAAATAGAAATACTACATGGACTGATATCAGATGTGTAGACAGAATATAGTGGAAAGTCGATTGCAATTGTTGATGCAACTCTTGATATAATAGTAATATTCTGATATACCACCACAGGACCCATCAATATTTTATGGAATGATAATAATAAATAGCGGGGAGTTTTGAAGAAATTCCAGATTATCTTTTAGATAATCAGTTTTCAAATGTACCTACATCATAAAGCAAAATACTACATGTAAATAACACATTGCATGAGACAGATAGAATGAAAAAATATAAGTATTTACCTTAAACCTACAAAATATAAAGTAGTGACTACTATAATAGAGATATTCTGGTCATAAACATACAACATTTTGTCAGAAGTGCTTTATACTAATCTTACATAATATTACACAATAACAAAGTGGAATAACGATTATATGAAAACAAATATAAAAGAAGAAAGGTGAAGTCTGTGAAACACAGAGTAAATTGGAGTTAATATATAAATGCAATTTACATTCAAATGAGGAGGAAAATCACTGTGCTGGTTACGCTGGAAAGGCCAATCGCACTAGAGGCATTCGGCTTATGTGTGGCAGTATAGTGTCAAAATGAGTCCACCATCGTTGTAACGTAGCACATATGCCTCCAAGGAACAAATACCTAATAGAGTGGATTGATTCATGCTTGAAAAAAAAATAAACTTAAAAAGGAGAGAGATGTAGTGTATGTGGAAACATTAGCAGTTTATTATCTATCGTCTCGAGCCGAGCGTACACGGACCGCCGTGCGCAAGAGGGAAGGGATTTCCCTGCGCAAGCGCCGCGGAGTAAAGACGTGGAGCTATGGCTAACGAGCCGATATTATGTCGATAACAACTTACATACAAGAAGACATAAATAACAAATAAGTGAACACTATACATGGGTATACTAGATTTAAGTTGAAAGGATCTTATTGAACCTATAACTGTTTTAAGAGACCTTTATATCCAATGCAATTAAAAATGAGAGAGAATATAAGTTGTGGAATAATATGGAATGGCTATATCTGTCAATTTAATCCTAGGAATATGTAAGAAAAGTTACTGGAGGATATAAATGAAAATTAAGATATAAGAAAGTTAAATATTGTTAAGGATTACAGTTTACAGTTATAAAGTACTGTTGTAGATGGTTTTGCCAATTTTATTAATTTCTAGTTAACCTTAGTTAAATATTGAGATATTGTATGTATTAAGATTTTAATTGATTGAGAAAAAAAGAGAATAATCGAAGCTTATAATGCGAAATTAACGAGCATGTAATAGCCCAAGAGCCCACGACAGCCAGACATACGTCATTTTAATAAATGTGAAAGTTCTTGTATATGTGTCCCCAACACAGGTAAGAACGATCCCCACACATGAGACTTGGATCGTGGTTCCTTTGGCAGGTAACAGGTAACAAAGGTGTAAACAATTTCATATCAAATTCGTTATTATAAGATGCTCCATTTTTTCACATATTGCTCGTAATAGTATTATAACTTGCTCTGCTCGTTGCCAGACCCTTAGTGTGGTTCCAACCCCCCGCCGGACCCCCCTAAACTAGACTATTTTATAAATAAACTTACGTCATTTTAATAAAGCTGAAATTTATATATATTATTGAGAGAACTATTAAACTGAGTTTCCTAAATTGCCAGACAGTTTTCTTGGTTCCTTATCCTACCAGACTCATTGAAACCGTATATTGGGTAACAACGGTGTATACAATTTCATATCAAATTCGTTATTTTAAGATGCTCCATTTTTTCACCTGCCAAAGGTACCACGATCTAGGTTTCATGTTTGGGGATCGTTCTTACCTGTGTTGGGGACACACATATAAGAACTTTCACGTTTACTAAAATGACGTATGTCTGGCCGTCGTGGGCTCTTGCTCTATAAGAATTGTTGGTATACATGTTGACTCAAATGACTTGAATATGAGATTGGATATGTGGTATTTAGACCATTGTAACTTTTGACATAATTGTTTAGTTGAAGTAAAACAAAAGTGTTAACTAAGGCTTTTAATAGTGAACTCATGTAAGAATTTATGTTGTCACTTGCATAGAATACGAGAATGGATGGGTCCGTATTTAAATAAGTGAGGGTGTTTTAATGTTGAATTGTACAAAATTACAGGTGGAGAGATATTGGAAGTTTATAATAATAACGGTGATGTGGTTTTCAAATTTTTGGTTGATATTCATCAGATAAATAAGATTTAATTTAATTTAAAGCGTTGACTTTGACGACGACGGCAGTTAAAAATCTTATAAGTAATGATGAACGCAATCAAATGCAAGGCATTTGATTCCATAGATAAGTCTGAGCACCTATGCACTTGTACCTGTGGCTGAACGACCAATCCAATTTTTGATTGACTATTGTGAACTAAATTGTTTATATTGAAATAACTTATTAATCCTTTCAGGATTTATGTGTCTGGAATTTAAATACAACTAATGGCTTAATATCATGGTCTGCTAGTAAGTAAAAAGTTAGTAGTTAGTCAGCCGCATACGCAGAATATTTTAGAAAATGTGTTGTAATTAATGGAAAATTAGAAAAGGTGCTAATTTATAGAAACCAGACACTGTATACAGACACTTTAGAAATATTATGAATAAAGCGCTCGAGGTGTACAAGATAGTTACACTGCAAGATCGTAGTAAGGACGATCACAAAAGAAAATTTGATACACCTAGATGGAAGTGACAACGGCCACTAGTCAAATGACAGACTTGTCTGTCGCAGTCGCTAGGTGGCGTCCCAAAGTAAACAGTTGCTACGAGTTCATTGTTCTAAAATAAATATTTACCGCAAAAGAAATGTTAATAGCCATATATATCTTGAAAAATAACAATATTAAAGTGCAAATTAGTATTATCAAGCGCAAGAATTACATATTATAGAGAAAAACAGACTGTGACTCAATAGTGAGAATTGATGTTAATGTACAATATCTACCAACTACTCTGTGATAAAGTGTTGACAAATAAATCATAAGTGAAAGTGATATGAACTTATTATTCTGAGAAAATCATCGTTTTCAGTGGAATAGTAGTAATACAGTTTAAAATTAGTAAACGTCTTCTAATTATTTAAATAATAACGATTAACAAAAGATTTATCTGGAAACTTCCATGTCTTATGCTATTGGTCAACAGAGGACGCTACAGGTCAACAGATAATATCTAAGTTTACCGCCATCTGTCGGCAACTGGCAACAACGCGTAGTTCTTCGTGAATGTTGTGCTTATAAATTCATAAGTTTTTGCACGCTATTGGATGACAGAGTTCGCTATACGTAAATAATAACATTAACGATGTCTTCAAAATCTGTACCAGGCTGTTCGGGTTGCAAGAAAGCACTTCCAAAAAAAGAATTCTTGCAATGTTCTATTTGTAAAGGGGCGTATGATTTGGAATGTGCAAATGTTAGCAGTAAACGCTACTACTCGTTCTACGCGACGGATAATGATCGGAGAAATATTTGGAAATGTCCCGAATGTCTATGTAAACAACCTAAGAGGGATAATACTGATACCCCGGTTCGTAATCCAACTCCAGTTTTAAATACTGACATGGATATTATTTTGTCGAGTTCTAGTGTTCCTTGTGATGATAACATTAACGTGACCCGACGGACGAAGATATCAAAAACAACTAGAGCAGAGGAATATTCGCTGATTGATCGAGATGGTGAGGATTCTCTCAGCCACGAATCAGACATCGGGCTTGTGCTGAGTGAGTTACGTGCCATACGACAGGAAATGAGTACGTTTCGGGCCGCTATAACGAACCTAACTGCCGCAATAACATCACAGAATGCGCGTCTTAACAGTTTGGAAACAAGATTAGATGCTGTAGAAACTAACAAACACGAAGTCAGTGACTGTCAAGATAAAGATTTGAGAGAAACAGTTTCTCAGTTAAAAATGGAAATTCTGGAACGGGACCAAGAATTATTAGCCAACGATGTGGAGATTTCAGGGTTCCCTGAGACACCAAATGAAAACACCATCCATATTATTCTGTCTATTGCAAACACACTCGGTGTAGAATTGGAAGAGCGAGATGTTGTTAGTGCGGGGCGTGTAGGTCCGGGACGGGCTCATCTGCAGAGAAACGGAGCGATGCCGCCGCGGCCGAGACCTATTGCGGTGCGAGTGACACGCCGAGCTACCAGGGATCACCTGCTGCGGGCCGCGCGCGTACGTCGTGTGCTCACTACCGAGGGTATGGGGTTATCGACTGCTACTCGCTCGTTTTATATCAATGAGCGGCTAACGAAACATAATCGGCAGCTCTTCTATAGGGCGCGAGAATTTGCACATCGCTGTAACTGGAAGTATGTATGGACCCGAAATGGGACAATATTTGCGCGTAGAGAACATGGAGGAACTTTATCCAGGCTGCGTTCAGATTTAGATCTAAAAAAAATTTTTGGAGACGATACTGTTTGTGCTGCGTCTTAATATATGTGATAATAATATCGTTATGTTTAATTGTACTTGCACAACATGTTCAATTGTATACTGTGTGTTGCTACTGTTGCTACTGTTCGGATTGGTGTTTTTATTTCATTGTTTAAACTTTTTTTACGAAAGGTTGCTAATGTGTTTTCATTTTTTTATTTATCATTTGAGAGTCTATAAAGTATACTTTGATATTTGGTTTGTTAAAGTATTTTATAATATGTTACTGTTATTTTACTATTTTATATTTTGCACTAAAAGTAAATTTGCAATAATTAAATTATGGTCGTTCCTTGTTACTTTAGTATATTACAGTGGACTTATAAGTGTACTTTTCTCAAACACTATTTATTATGAAATATTGTTTTTTTGTTTTTGTGTGTATTACTTTTATTATTTTGCGTTTGGTGGAATTATTTGTAAGTTCAATTATATTGTAGAATGCTTTGAGTTGTTGTTGATATTTTACGGCACAGTATATTTATCTGAGAAATATGCACTTACTGCTTCCGCTTTTAAGCCATATATATGTACAATTGAAATGTATGAGGAGGGTTTTATTTATATGTTGGATCGGCGTCATGTAATTTGTTTGAAAAAATATTTTAGCAATTGTAGGTATATAGAGATGTCGCACGCTTTTATTGTGAGGTTCATTAAACAAAAAAATATGTCGTTGGGTTTTCTTAATCCGGGTTCACTTGGTACAGGTCATGATGAGTTTTTGGTGACAGTGGAGAAGCACAATGTGGATATCCTGGCTATTAATGAGACCTGGCTTAAAATAGGCGAGGAGGCACGTGCTCCTTCTCCACCAGGCTACACATTGCGTCATATTCCTCGCCCATCTGGCACACGCTCTCGTGGCGGTGGTGTGGGTTTTTACATTCGTAGAGGTATTCATGCTCGTCTGCTTGCGCATCCTCTTGCGCCCTCTGTTGAACAAATGTGGCTTGGTATTACTGTAAATGGAATTAAGTTGGCTATTGGTACTGCTTACAGACCTCCTTGGTTGAACGTGAATACTTTCCTAGATGCATTAACAGCATCAATAACCTCACTATCCACTTTTGATCACATCATGGTGATGGGTGATTTTAACATTAATATGCTGGGATCTTGTGATGGTAGCGCAATTAAATTATTAGAATTTTTGGAACATATGAATCTTCGCCAATATGTAACGAAACCAACTCATTTTACTGATCATTCGAAGACTTTACTTGACGTAATATGCAGCAGCAGTAGGGTTATGAACGTTATAATTGACTATGTGCCAGATCTCAGTAGCCATGCCTTTATTTCTTGTGAATTGAATGTAAGGAAGCCTAAACCAGTGCCTCGATGGATAACCTACAGGCCTCTCGGTGATATTGACATCGACGTTTTCAATGAACATGTAAATTGCATACCATGGGAACTATTGATGAATGGCAATATTAATGAGTCAGTCGCTGTTTTTAACATGCTTATTAGTGCCTTATTTGATATTCATGCGCCTGTAAAGACATTGTATTTAAAGGACCGGAGTTACCCATGGATAACACAAACTATTAAAGATATGATGAGATTGAGAGATAAAGCTCACGCAAAAAGTCATCGTACGAAATTGGAGGTCGATAAAGAGTACTATAAACAACTTAAAAGTTTAGTTAATGTTGCCTTATATAACGAAAAAAGAGCGTATTATAGATATTACATAAATAAGAACATGAATGATCCACGTAACCTCTGGAGGAACGTAAAACGTAATATTGTTGATTTTAAAAAGGATTGCTCCGATTTACCACAACACCTTGGTGACGCTGATCTCATTAATGATCATTTTCTTGGTGTCCCTGGCAATGACAGTATTAGTATATCTCAATTAATGTATTTTTATTATCATAGATTCTGCCCTGCGGTATTCAGCTTGAAAGAGATAAATGAATCAGTTGTATTAAAAATAATAAATAGTATTAAAACTAACGCACAAGGAGCAGATGGTATAACTTTAAAAATGATACTTTTGACATTGCCAAGAACATTGGGTGTGATTACTCATATTGTTAATACATCGCTGATTAGTGGCATTTTCCAGATCTATGGAAAGAAGCTATAGTAAAACCTCTTCCAAAAGTCAGTCAACCCACTGAATTAAAAGATCTATGACCAATTAGCATTCTACCATTTCTATCAAAAATTATAGAGAAAGCAGTATGTATGCAGTTAAGAGGATATCTTAATATAAATAACATTTTACCTCAGAAACAGTCAGGTTTCCGAGCTGGTAGGAGTACCTCTACTGCGCTTTTGAATGTGGTTGATGACATACTGGCCGGCCAGGACATCGGACTAGGAGCAATTCTGGTGTTGCTTGATTATTCCCGCGCATTTGATACTTTAAATACTAAATTACTTATGGCGAAACTAACATATTATGGGTTTGATGATATTGCACTGAAGTGGTTCTATAGTTATTTATCGGATCGTTCTCAGAGGGTGGAAGTGACTAATCTCAATGGTATAAGGAATGTATCTGCCGCTGCTGTTATAAATAAAGGAGTTCCCCAAGGCTCTATTTTAGGACCTCTCCTATTTATTCTTTATACTGCTGACTTACCTGGATGCATATTAGATACTGAATTTCATTTATATGCTGACGATCTCCAGGTTTACAAATCATTCATACCCACTGAAACCGAGACAGCTGTGCGTAAAATTAACCAAGAATTGGACCGTATTGCAGAGTGGTCGGAAAAAAACGGTCTAGTTTTAAATCCGTCCAAAATTAAATTCATTGTTCTTGGATCGAAAAAACAAATAGATGTAATTAATAGTTACGGCCCCGTGGTTACTATAAAAAATGCTAATATTCAGCAAGTATCAGAGGCTAGAAATTTGGGTGTATTGATGGACAGCAATCTGAGATTTGAGAAACACGCAAATAATATTGTTAAGCAATGTTATTACAGATTGAGGGTATTATATAAGGTTAGACAGTATTTATCCGTGGACATGCGAATTTATCTATGCGAATCCTTGATTTTATCCAAGTTGAATTATGCGGACACAGTCATAGGTGGTTGTCTTTTAGCTCGCACAAAAAAGATTATACAGCGCGTTCAAAATTCTTGTGCAAGATTTTGTTTTCCGATACCTCGCAGAGCCCACGTATCACCATATTTAAATAGTAAAGACCTTATGAGTATGGAAATACGGCGTAAACTACACTTTGCCAGCTTACTATTTGAAGTTGTAAAAAAAAAGATTCCTGAATATCTTTACGAAAAATTGAATTTCAGTAGTCGTCATTCACGCGGCGTTCATTTGATGTGCCCCTCACATAGAACGGCAGCATTCCGTGATAGTTTTCGCTATTCTGCTACGAAGTGCTGGAATAATATACCTCCTCCTATAAAAGATTCTTTAAATGTGCAGATTTTTAAAAATAAATTTAAAAAAATACTCCTCCTCACTCAGAAAACTGTGCCGTGATGTGTCTGCACTCCAAGAGCGGGGTAATGCAGGGTAATACTAGTATCACCAGAATTTATGTTTATGTTTATTTTATGTTTTCAGTGTGTAGTTTATGTTTGGTTTTTATTTATATATGGTATTATGTCGTAAATGTTTGCTTTGTGTTGTCCGCCTGGATTTATGTATGTATGTGTATTATTATTATTATTTTATTATATTTATTGTATATAAGGTGTCCGCTGAAAACCAGCGTCGTGGCACCCCGTCACGACATATGCTGAGCGGAGACCTAGTTGGTACTCTAATTATTAATATAAAATGTAAACTTAATTTTAAAAATTATTTTCAGTGTACCAATTAAACAATTTTCTTTCTTTCTTTCTTTTTCTTTCTTATTTTTCTGATAGCAAAAGCAGCCGAGCTTAGTCTTTTGGCTAGTGTGAATATATGTGGACCCCACTGCAATTTATTATCTATTACAATACCAAGAAACGAAGTCTCATCAACAAAGTCCAAAACATGATGATTCATACTAACAGTTGTCGTTACTTGTTTTACATTTGGTAAAGAGAATTTAACACATTTTGTTTTCATTGAATTAAGCGCTAGATTATTTGATGTAAACCAGTTTAGAACATCCTCAAGAGCAATATTTATATTATTAAAATCCTTTGTATTTCTTTTCACTTTGAAAATAAGTGATTTGTCATCAGCAAACAATACTATGTCAAATATGTTTTGAAACTGGTATGGTAAGTCATTTATATAAACAAGAAAAAGAAATGGGCCAAGTATAGAACCCTGGGGTACACCCATTATTATAAATGACCCCTTGGACTTGCTTCCTTTAATGACTACCACTTGAATTCTATCGCGCAAATATGATCCAATGAGTTCTGAGGACTTTTCTCTAATTCCATAATGCTCTAGTTTGCGTAATAATATCCTATGGTCAACGCAATCAAACGCTTTAGAGAGATCACAGAAGACACCAATGGCATCCTGTGAATCTTCCCAGGCACCGAAAATACTTTGTATTAAGTTAATGCCTGCATCAGTAGTAGACCGTCCACTCATAAATCCAAATTGCTGTTTATGAAATAAATCATGTGTATTAAAATGAGCTAACATTTGTGTAAGTAGTATCTTTTCAAAAATCTTACTAAATACTGGTAAAATTGAGATAGGTCTAAAATTTGATATATTGTCTTTGTCACCAGATTTAAATAGCGGTATTATTTTACTCACTTTCATTAGATCTGGAAAAATACCTTGATCAATGCTCATATTAAATATTTCAGTTAAATGTGAAGCAACTTCACTTATTACAGTTTTCATGACTCTAACTGACATACCCCAGATATCCTCAGTTCCTTTTAGATTGAGAGCGTTGAACGTTTTTATCACACAGGAGCAACTGATATGATGAAAAGTAAAGTCATGAACGCAAGGATTTATGGTATTTTTTAATAATGTTTCAGCTAAACTAGGTGATGAGTTTAAATTTTCCGTAGCTTTGAGAGGTATTGTTGAAAAGAAATTATCAAAAGTTTGAGCAACTAGTTCATTATTATCAATAATAACGCCATTTTCTGCTTTTAACTCATATTCTGACTGGCGCGACTTAATGTTACCTGTTTCTGTATTTATTATATTCCAGGTAGTTTTTATTTTATTTTTAGAAAACTTAATTTTATTCTTTAAATAAAGGCCTTAGTGGCCTTACATACTTTTTTGAATAACTTTGAATAATTTTTGACATATTCATAGAATATAGGATCACGCAAATATGATCTAATATCATATAATTGATACATATTTTCCCTACTTATATTGATACCTAATGTTGTCCATTCAGCGTACTTAGAATTATTGACTTTAATTAATTCATGTCTAAGTTTTGATGCAAATTTTTGTGACGGATCTTGCCGACTCCAAGTGATCTAAGGAATTTCCAAACTTTAGCAGGTTCCTGATCAGAAATTGTGTTATGAATATAGTGACGTTGTGCATCCCTACACATTCTATTGCAGCGATTTCTGGCTTCATAGTACTTCATTTTGTTATCGTTAGTTGGCCGACGTTTAAATTTGGCCTTGGTTGTAACTTTTTTGTGCATAAGTACCCTAATTTCATCTGTGAGCCATGGAGCAGGAGTATGCTTTATTTTAATGGCTCTTAAAGGTGCATGTACATCATACAACTTAGTCACTATAATGTTGAATTGCATTACTTTGTCGTCAATAGAATCAGCTGCCATAACAGGTGACCAGTCCGTCTCCACGGCGTCACTACGCAATCCCTCAATGTCCATACCACCAAAATTACGCTGAAAAATAATTTTGGGTTTATCTTTAGGAGGTCGGATTTTGTAAGACAAATAAATAAGATCATGGTAAGAGAAAGCATCAGCATCACATTGACCATGTTTTTCCACATGTTCCAAGGAGGAGACGAATATTAAATCAAGAAGAGATGGAGCGGAGTTGGGGAAATGGTGAGTAGCTGTAAGAGGTAGAATATACATGTTACAAGCTTGCACTGTAGATTGTAATGTAGTAGACCGATTATCTCTTTTAAGCAGACATGTTTTAAAATCGCCCATTATAATTGTATGACGGAAATTTAGTGTAAAGTCTTCAAGCAACTTTTCCAAGGAGGAAAAATAGTTGATGTGCATGGAAGGGCAATAGTAGACTCCAAGAAGTATTTTTGAATGGGATAGCAGGACTTCAACAAACAAGTGTTCACCAGCATCTGGTAGTGGTGGCTGTGCAGACATGCTAATTATAGAAAATGGAAGGTGAGAACGTAAATATATGGCAA